GCAGAAGGCTCTGCCAAGCGGCACATCCAGGCCATCTATCCAGCTATGGGAATTCAGGGTGAACTGGCAGGGCTGATTGTAGGGCTGCTGGCTTCAGAGCGGCTACAGTCACTGATGGAGCCAGTCCGAGAGCTGCCACCCCGCCTTTCCAGCATGCCTGGGTGGAAATTGGTGTGACGCCGTGCATGCTTTGTCAGGTGGTCACTACGCATGAAGCGCTTCTGGCAGATGGGACAGCTGAACTTCTTCTCACCTGTGTGCGTTCGAAAATGCCGGGCCAGCTCATCGGAGCGTGCAAATTTCTTGTTGCAATCCTGCCAATTGCAAGCAAAGGGCTTCTCACCTATGGGCAGGACAGGAGGTAGAGCAAAGTCAGTCTCAGGCACTGGATCCCCTTCTTCAGAACCATCCCAGACCCCACACTTACCCCCAAGAAGTCGGCATCTCAAATACAGAGATGTAAGAAAACCATATCCCAAAGCATGAAAGACAAATTTCAAGACAGGATGGGCTGAAGGTCCCTTGCAGCAGGAACCACAAGTCTATTGCAAATCATGCACGCAATGTGCATGTTAAAGCCAGACTAAACCCATGCTCAAATTACAGAACAATATCATTAATATTATACGCAAGTACAATTTTGTTGAAGTTCATCTAACAACTGTTGCAACAATACATTGACAAGGAACTGCAGAGGTTCAGACCAAATTCAGAAGAGGACACAGAACAAGAGATATCATTGTTATGTCAAATGGATCTTGGCTGAATGCAAAGAATACCAAAAAAATATTTAATTGTGTTTTATTGGTTAAGTAAAAGTATTTGACTGTGTGAATCATGGATAACCTTGAGAAGAATGGGAATTCCAGAACAACCCAATGTGCTTATACACTGAACTCATACATTGATCAAGAAGAAGTTGTACAAACAGAACAAGGGAATACTACCCGGTTGAAAATCAGGAAAAGTGCGTACCAGGGTTGTATCCTTTCACCATACGTATTCAATCTGTATGCTGAGCAAACAATCAGGAAATCTGGACTAGTTGAAGAAGAAGGCAACATCAGGATTGGAGGAAGGCTTGTTAACAACCTGCAGTATGCAGAGGGCACAACCTTGCTTGCTGAAAGGGAGGGGGACTTGAAACACATGTTGATGAAGATCAAGGATTGCAGCCTGCACCTGGGATTACAACTCAATATAACAAAAACCAAAATCCTCACAACTGGACCAGTAAGTAACATCATGATAAATGGAGAAAAGGCTGAAGTTGTCAAGGATTTCATCTTGCTTGGGTTCACAGTCAATACTTATGTAAGTAGCAGTCAAAAGGTCAAGACGCATATTGCACTGGGTAAGTGTGCTGCACAAGACCTCTTGGAAGTGTTGAAAAGCAGAGTGGTTACTTTAAGGCAGAGGGGGTGGATCGACCTTTTCACAGTGGTCGCCTGATTCATAACAGTAGCAAAATCACCATGATGAAGTAGCAACAAAAATAAGTGTATGGTTGGGGGGTCACCACAACATGAAGAACTGTACTAAAGGGTTGCGGCATTGGGAAGGTTGAGAACCACTGCTTTAAGGACTAAGCCATGGCACTTTCAACCATTTCATATCATACACATGTGATAGCTGGACATAAAATAAGGAATACCAAAGAATAATAAGTGTGTTTGAATTGTGGTGCTGGTGAAGAATATTGAAACCATGGACTGCCGAAAGAATGAACAAATCTGTATTGGAATAAATAAGGCCAGAGGCTCCATAAAGGTAAGGACGGTGAGACTTTGTCGTACATACTTTGGACATGTTGTCAGTAGAGATCAGTCCCTAGAGAAGGACACCATGCTTGGTAAGTAGAGAGGAATAAGAAAAAGAAAAAGGTCTTTAACAAGATGGGCTGACATAGTGACTGCAACAATGAGCTCAAACATAGGAACAATTATGAAGATGAAGTTGGATCAGGCAGGGTTTTGTTCAGTTGTGCAGAGGGTCACTTTGGGTGCGAACTGACTCTGCTCAACACCCTCCTCCCACCACTAGAATGCAGTCTTTTGGGCACAAAAGACACCTAGACTCACAGCTGTCTTTATCTCTCCTAGTCCCTTACACCCCTTTCACAGGCCTTAATGAAGACTCCCAGTTCTTGAGACTGGCCCACTTATACCCAACTAAGGATACCCACACCAATCGCCCCCAAGTAAGTCCATCAACCTCAAAGGTTTGCTCTCCTTTCTGATTCATTTAAATTTGCTCTAGTTTTTAATGTTTTCTGCTTCCTTGTGATTGAGAATTCTATCTGTTTTACTTTGAGATTCTTGCTAGTTTTTTTAAATTTTTGTTTGTTTTTCAATGTTTTCTGTATATAAAATCAGGATGAGTAAAGCTATAGAAGACAGCAGCTGGATTAATGGTTCCTTACAGGTATGGCAGGGAAGACTGGGGGGAGCTGATAATGAGTTCAATAAAGGAGAAAATATTCTAAAACTGATTGTGTTGATTGTACAACTCTTCTTGAAGTGATTGAACTATTAAATTGCATGATATGTGAAGTATAGGCTGATAAAACTGTTGGGGAAAAAAGGTGATTTGGCCAGACATAGCCTTGATGGTGTACCAGTATGTGTCCAATTTCTTCTCTGATACCTATGCCAAATAACATTTTTTTTCTCCTCAAAAAAAAAAAAAAGGAAAGGAAAAAAGTAAACAAACATCCATTGACGGCTGGGCAGCCAAGAATTACCAGCAAAAAACTGACTCCAGAGGGAAAAGAGGCAGATCAGGAAACAGAAGAGAATATTGTGGTAGTTACATAATCTGTTGTCAGTTTGAGACTTAAGAGGGAAGGGATGGAGTTTAGCCTGTCAATCAGGCTGTAGCTTGAAGACCTCATTTGGAGGCACGAAGGAGAGAAATAGCTCATTGGGGGCAATACATAGGCTCACTACCTGGGAGACCTTCCTATTGAGAAGACATGTGGAGCTACACTAGAGCCTTGGGAGCTGGAGGAGACACATGGGGACACCTGCCAGTGCTGAGATGTTTTGACTGCCACTGGATCCACAAGACTTTCCACCCACTAGCCTGTGATCTTCCTACATTTGACATCATTGCATGTGTTGCATGAGTCTGAAGAGGACTTTATAAATTGGTATCAGACATATTGGCTAATATTAGACTTCTGGACTTGATCTGGACTGGGCTGGGATGTTTTCTCAATATTCAACTGCTCTTGTATATAAAGCTCTTTCTTATACACATATGAGTGTCTATGGATATGTTTCTCTAGTCAACCCAGACTAACACAAATATTAACCAAAAAATTCTAATTAGTATTCCCAGAGGAACGTAAGACAAGTTTTTATGTATAAAACAAATAGCAGACCCTAGAACATAAGTATAAGGAAAAAGAATAATAATTAGAAACTAAAATTATAGTTACCCAAACCAAAATTCGATAGAAATGCTAGAAATACATGTAAAAACATATTCCAGAAAAGTAGAACAATAGTTCTAAGAAATATATGAATATCATAGTGTTCTGTCCCTTAGTAATGCTGAAACTGTGGTAATGCTGAAATAATGGTTGTTTTTGCTCTCCTTATTGCTTTACTTTCGGTGGAAGCAGATAGTGAAGATTCAATATTAGGCAGGAGTTCAAACAAGAGCCTCAGGAAACTAATAGAGGACATTCAACATCTTGTTTCTTTCTTGGCATATATTTCACATCATACAATTAACTTGTTTGATCTTATTAAGATTGCACACATTAAGATGTGTGCAATCATCACCACAATCAACTTCAGAACATTTTCTTCTCGTGCTCATTGTTGTTGGCTCCTCATTTCCCCCATCCTCTCTTGCCAGGTCCCCATCTAATTGCTGTCTCCACAGATCTACCTACACTGGATTTCATTTCTAGAAAATCATACAAAATACAAACAGGAAGCAAACAAACAAAAACCAACAACAATGACTAGACAAACTAGAGAAAAACATCAATTGAAAAGGAAAAAAATATTAAAACTGAAATATTACAATGGGTCAAAAAGGGAGATTAAATTATAAGGCATTACATTTTAACCTAATTACTACTGTCATAACCAACTTTACAATGTTCTCTATCTGATAACAAAACTATTCACATCCCTCCTTTATGGTCAGAGGGGATTCACCAGATATTTAATCCATGTAGAGTCCTGCAAATAGATTTTGGGCTTCCTCTGTCATCTATAGCCCTCTGCAAACTGGTGTTCACAAGTTAAGCTCTGATATCATTCTCTCCTGGATTTGGATTTTATTATTTACAATCCTAGGATCACACAGGCTAGGGTGCTTCTTCCATGTAGATCTAGTTGATGCCTCAATTTCAAGGATGACTTCAGACACAATCTTTCTGCTAACCGGACACCATCTGGTGTCTTCATCATGCTTTTCTATAACACTCCCATCTTCAGTGATCTCTTCATAAGGGTGAGCATTAAGCAGGGTCAAAGCATTCAACAACATCTTAATTAAGAAGATACAGCAAGTAAGAATACAGAAATAAAATAGAGGATGGGAAATTATAAAAGAAAAATTTTAAATGTTATCTGTCAGAGAAAGAGAGCAAAGTTAGGAAAGAAAGAAGACAGCTGATTCACATATAAAATGTTGTCAGTGTTGGGTAAGTAAATAAATATTAGTGAAAGATCATTTCTTTTCTTTTCTTAAGATTTTAGATTAAAAATAGTTTTATGGACTTAAATTCATACATCATAGGCTTTCATAGTTAAGTTGCTTTTAAAAGGAGTTGTAGGCAAGAGCATAGAGCACTAGGCAGCAGGAGCACAGACAGCCAGCTGGCAGGTGTGCACCAGCACAAGAGGTGGGTCACCAGGAGCATACACTATGCAGAGAAGAACACAAATGAGTCACAGAAAGTGATAGCATCAGAACATCCAGGAAGATGGTGCTGATGTAGGGACACCTGTCTGCAGTTCCTTCTGAGTGGTCTCCGGAGATGCAGGTGAGGAGGCTGATTCAGAGGATTCAGACCAAGCCCTGGTCTCAAAGCGCCCCAGGGGCATTTTGGCAATTTCCCCACAAATGCGCAGCTGTACTCACCATGACATGTGTCCCCCTAGGCTTCCTCTCACCTGAGACACATGCACCGTAATCCCTATTGCTTCCCAGTGCCAGAGACACATGACCAGGGGTCCCTGGCTCTTCCCAGCCCGGAGACCCCCTGCACAGCTTGTTTCCTGTGATCTCTCCCACCACCCACCCCACGAGTGTCACAGTTCCCTGGGTTTCCTATCTTGATGACCAGTGTACCTCAATCCATTGAGTTGCTCCACCCCT